GTTCTAGTTATAAAACAGGTAGTTGCAGTTTCATTGAGCGCTGAGATTGCTGGTATAATCCAACAGCATTTTTCACTGTTTGTGTCACTCCATATGTAGGTATTGTATGTTGTGTGTTCCAGACAGGCTGTTAGTCTGTGCATTAGTGGTGGGGATTACAACTCTTTCTGTTGGTTACATTGATAGAGGAACCATTTTTTGAGTGAGTCATTGAATCAATTCGTTCATAAACACTGATTTATTTAGGAAGAAAACACCACAACTGTATTTTGCTCGGAGATGCAACGGTTAGATTCTGCTTTAGCTTTGTTCAGAATTATCTTTGTTAGCGGAGCAAAATTTAAAAAGTGTCTGTGGCAGTATGTCTGTAAAATTACTTTTGTGCCTATAAGTACTATAACTGTAATCCACTTTTTAAATATTTAGCCTGATTAAGTATCAAAGAATCAAAATGCATTTATTACATAAAATTTGAAGGATTTACATTAAAATGTAGTATTCCTTTATTTAAAAAAAAAACCAAGTAGGTTTAAAGTGTCCATATTATGCTCATTTACAAGTTAAAGTTTATTTTTGGGGTCTTCTAGAATACATTTAGGCGTACAGGATTTAAAGTTAAAATATATATATATTTTTTTATTTCACATTATTTTCTCATACTCTAACTGAAATGCTCTAACATACCCTCTGCCTGAAATGCTTTGTTTTAGTTTCTGTGTCTTTAAAGCCGCCATTCGGAAAAGCCTTCTTGTGATCTTGTCATGTTGCCAATTACATAAATCAGTTTAATTTTGTCAGTCTGTGTCAAAACATAAGAGTGTTTGTGTAAGGCCCACTTTATTGGAAGGCTGTTCAGATATCCTTAAGAAACTTAGATATGACTGGGCTTTATAGGCTCACTTCTCCCACCATGCTAATTATTGATCTTTACATGCTAACATGTCTAAAGAATCCAGAGTTATACAATTATACAGTAGCACATTTTAGCATTTTTTTTGGTTCAAAACTGTATGGTGCATTGTGACATTGGATGTGTATTTATGTTTTTAGTGTGTTCCTCTTATTTTTCTCAATTAACTTGCATACTTTCTTTCTATTTTAGCAGAGCTTTAGAGATCTGAATTCAATTTAACACATCAAAAGTTGAACAACATGGAACTTGCTAATGACCCACTCTGTGAACCATCTGCTCCTGAAGCAAATCTGCACAATGAGCAGCTTTCACTTACAGACCGCCTGTCTCCTGTGGAAGCACCATTAGATAGTATTGTACATGGAATAGAGGCTACAGAGGGTACAGGACGAAACAGTGGCCTTGAGTTGAAGCTGGACCTCTATGTCCCGACACCACCAATAATAGAGCCTGTAACCCCTGTAGAGGAAACAGTGGAGCATTGTGCACTTCCTGTAGCAACAGAAGGGGACAGCACACAACCTGAAGCCGTTAAAGAGGGGTGTTCAGATGAAACTGCCAACTTTGAAGGCTTTCATTGCAAAAATCAGACAAGTCTGGCTGAGTCGAGTTCGAATACTGTGACAGAAGTGGGATGTGAGCATGCATCCAATGAAACAAGCTCATCAGACTGTACAGCTGCAAGTTGTATGCCTGTAGAGTGCATAAGCTCAAATGAAACACCAAAAACTTGTGCCAATATTAAATCATCAACTGGAAGTACAGTAGACAATGCCGACAGAAAGAACATCCCTCCAAAGAAGGACAAATTTAACCCTTTGAAAATTGACATGGCCAAAGTAATACCTCTCACCTGTAAGTTGTTTGACTCTTATGTATGTTTCCCCATAACCTAGATGAAATATTGTTACGGCCCTCATATATTTACAAATGTCGGCATGAAACTGAAATTGATATTATTTTCTTAATGCATATTATTGGTCTTATTTTGAATGATTCATTCATACATTAAATTTTTTAATAAATAAATTTATCAAATTGTCATAACTTGCTCTTTCTTTGATATGAGTCACTTTTCTAATATGCATTTTGTTTTTAATACCAACTTCTAGCATCCCAGCTCTCACTGCAGTGCGTAGAATGTCACATCATCTTCAGTGACTCCAAAAGCAAAAAACGGCACCTTAAAATGAGCCACCCTGCAGAATATCAGCAATGCATGCTGGGAGATGCTCTCTTTACTTGCTATGTTTGTGATCAGCATTTCACCACCTCCACAGAGCTTATGGCCCATCAACGCACACACACAGGTAATGAGCGGTTCAAGTGCCCGTTTTGTAGTGAAGCCTTCTACCGATCCGGTGAACTAACAAGTCACAAAAAAAAAATTCACTTCAGCAAACATGGATACACCTGCTCGGAGTGTGGCAAGCCTTTCAAAACCTTTACTTTGCTCAGATACCACCAACGGGTACACACAGAGGAAAAGCCTTTTGTTTGCATGCACAAACAATGTGGTAGAAAGTTTTCTGCATCCAAGTCTCTTCAGCACCACTTAGAAAAACATCAGAAAGAAGATAACCAGGATAACCAGACAAATGCTTCAACAACCACAAAGAAAAAGAGGGATAAAGGTAAATGACCAAAACCTTAAAACACTAAAAAGACATCAAAGGTAATCTCATATCCAATATCTGCTGATATATACACTATACCAATAACTTAAATTCTAATATCTGCTGATAACCAATATGGTACCAATAAATTGTGCATCATTATATTATACTGTGCTTTCATCACTCACTTTAAAGATCAAATAGGATTAGAAGGATGAAGATGGATCCTCTTTAACAATTCAGTGTCATTGCAGATGTAAATGTTGCTGTGCTGACCATTAGATTTCTTTATACTTTTTATTTTTCTGCAGGAAAAAATGAGCGGAAATTCCCATGCTCACAGTGTGCTGCAGTCTTCAAGACTTCTAAAGCACAACTTCTTCACATCAGAAATAAACACTCTCAAGAGTCACAAAGTAGCACTGTGATGGTGCCACAACTAAAAGCACCTGGACCTGCTCTGACACAGCCCGCGAATGGACAACCACAGACTCTGATCATGGAAACTGTCGGACCAGCACCACATCAAATGGATAAGCTGGATCCTGAGCAAATTAAAAGGCTAATTGAGAAACTTGGAAATGGGCAGAAAGTGAATCAGTTGGTTATATTGCCTTTGCAGCCACAAAGCTTTGGGTCACTCCATCCACAGCCATTAATGCAACCATTGCATGTGAATTTTACTCAATCAGCCTTTCAGCCAACACAATGTGAGAAATCTGACACAGACTCGTCAAAAACAGAGCAAATTAACCTTCAGTTGTCAGCAGAAATTGGAGATTTGCAACAAAAGGTTCTGTCACAAGAGGAAAAAATTATTTCATCAGAAAACTCAGAGACCCAATTAACAGCTGTTGAACTGACACAAACGGAGGTCCGAACGCAAATGGATGAAATTCACCTTGAACTTATACCGATACAGACTGAAACTTCTGTTTTGCTGGATCAAACACCTTTACAGGTTGAAGCACCACAGAATGATTCTGTTAATGAGATGGCACAAATAGCAGAGGAACATATTCCATTCACACAAGGCATTACAGTGTTGGAAACAAACAATGAACTACCTTTAATTCCTCAACCGCAAACTGCAAAGTCTCATCATGTGGAGGAGGACAATGTGCCAGTTGACACAGTAGCATTAGAGGAAACGGTTACCAATGTAGAGATGCCATGTCCTGCACAAATGCTATATTCAACAGAATTGTCAGTGGAATCTGAGTCACTGGTGGTAAGTGAACAGGATGATGTAGTCAAATTAAGTGAACCTCAAGAACTTCAGGAAATCCAAGCACAAAAGGACCAAGCTAAATCAGAGAAAGAACCATCCTTACCAGTGGAACCACAATCTCAGCGCGATTCTCTCAATGGTGTGCAGAATGACACCGTAATTTACCTTCAACAAAGATCTGTGCTTACACAAGACCAGACTAGAGCCAGCTTACAGGATTTCCCTTTTGTTCAGAAGAAAGTTCCAACAAAGAAAAAAAGATCTAAGAAACAATTGGCTGACAAAATAGAGACTAAGGAAGCAAGTACAGTATGTGATGGTCAGGTAGCATCAACCAAGAAAGGTAATACTTCATCAAAAGTAATGACTAAAAAAAGAGAAAAGGCAAAGAACAAAAAGCTTGTTGTCAAATTTGGACCAAGTGAGAAGAAAAAATCCTCTAAACCGAAGGTAATAAAAACATCAAAAACCAAACAAAACCAGAACCAGCAAATTAGTGATCAAGACAAAATTCCTATATTGTCTCATCATGACAATAAACTGAATTTAAACCAAAAAGTGCAAAAAGGAAAGGAGGTTGAAAGTCCTTCAGAAGCAGAAGTGAAGACAACGGGTCAAATCACTAATTCATCAGACACTGCTTTGGCAGAACCAGAAGCAACACAACAAGGGAAACCCCAGAAGAGAAAAATGAAGAATCAAAACAATTTGGACAAGGTGGCAAACTCTGTCCAGGAGGCTCACCAAGATGAAGCACTGGTACCTGTACGAAAGAAAAAGAAGCAGGGAAAAAAATCTGAAGACAAATGTCCCAAGAAACCCAAGGTTAGGAAGAAGAATACCCACAAATTACCCAAGCATAAAGGTACACAGGGTAAATCTAGACCTGATGTTACAGACCTGGCTCACATAGAGAAACAAGCTTTGCTCTTATTAAAAGGCCACAAGCAGCCTCAGCTGAAGGTGCACAAGTTGGATGCTACTGAACTCGAGAAATCACCCCCAAGCAAGTGTGATAAGGTACTGAAAAAATCAAAAAGTGCACCGATCAAATCCTTGAATATAGCACACCAAAAGAAAACAAAATCAGGTGAAAATAATTTGTTGGAGTACCAGGGAGAGCCCCTTTTATTTGAAATGCCCTCTGTTGAGAACAGCCCTGGTTCTGTGTCTACAAAGCCAAAAATTGTACGGAAACGCAAAGCTCCTACAAGGATAGACCAGGAAATTGCCTTGAGCCCCCCGTATTCTCAACTTACTCTTGGGTGCCAGGACTGTGGAAAGACATTCTCAGAAGTGTCTGCTTTACAGGAACACATGGCATCCTGGCACTCAGCTGGAAAGGTGACCTTCCCAGATGAGACATTTGATGTTGCTAAAAAACGAGTCATAAGACCTGGTCCTAATGAAAAATGCATTTTACCTAATGTCTTTGAAATTCAGGTTGCAACAGATTGGGACATGGAGACTGAGGTGGGGGAGATTGTGGGAGAAAGACTGTCATTCCCAGCGTTAAGTCCGTCTCCTTCTTTGACACTTGCTTCTGGTGGTGTTGAAGGAAAGGAACAAGGAGGAGTCAAAGATTTTGAAGGAATTGTTTCTGGACTTGAGCAGCCTCCTGAGCAAAATCCTTTAGAAGTTTGTGAGATTCCCTCCCAGGCTTCAACCCTAGCCTTAGGCAAAAGTATTGTGACCCAGGAGCACACAAAAAATACTAGTGAGAATGTGTCAGAAAAAGCACAGAGTAATGGGGTCAGGTCTACCACAGAAACTTCTTGCGCTGAACTCAAAAATGCAGCAGAGGAAGAAATTAAAGAAGAACTTCCTTCAGAGGTTAATTTAGTCATGATTGGTGAAAAAAATGTGGAAGAGAACCATAACACTCAGATAAATAATGTTTCAGGTGACTCTCGAGAGCTTAAAAATGAAGTGCGCAATCTAGGTTCTCAGGCTCAAGAGTCCGCAAAAGATGCCAGTGTAATATTGACTCGAAATGTTCTTACTGAACCAGAGATCAAGCAAGAAGAAGAGGAGGAACTTGTACGTAGAGTTGATGATCATAAAAGAGTGATGGGAGAAAATTCTGCAACAAGAGGTAAGAAAGGAGTTGGAAGAAGCCGTAGCAAGAGACCGCTTGGAAGAAGAACTAGCACAGAAAACAGAAGTAAAAAGGACATGGAAGGAAATAAGGATCCACAAGAATGCCAAGTTCTCTATCATCTGTGTATACTTGGTACTCTGGAGGGAAAGAACAAAGAAAAGGACAAGAATGGAGTTGATGCCTCTGAAACTTGTCAACCATTGTCTTCTGAGGAGGCTCCTGAGGAACAGGTTGTTTTTGAGTTGGATTCTGTTACCACAAGTGTAATGGATATTGTAAACTCTGGAGACAGTTCGTTTGAAGAATCTAGAGAGCTGGTTCGAGACGGCAGCTCACCTGGAATCATACTGGAAAAATTCTTAACTGCTCGGGAGAGAAATATGGAAAATCCAAACACCCAAAGTCGGATTAGGGTAATGTTTTGCATGTTTTCCAGACTCTTCAGATGTTGTCCTTTAGCATTTGAGTATTGACTTTTTAACATCTTTTAAACCTTTTAGAGAGTATCGAGTATTTATTGTGTCATGTAATGTATTATGTATCACATTTACCTAATGTTCTCATTAAAGGCAAACTCCTCGTTGGATACCAGTAAAGTGACTTCGGCTAACACATCAGCTGACGTGAAAATAGAAGAACGTTCTTCAAATCTGGCTCACCACAGTCTGATTTCTTCTGAGAGTGGTGCAATGCGTGGAGTACAAATGTTTTTTGTCAAAGCCGAAGACCACTTGACTACAAATGAGATGTTTCAGGCACTCCAACGCGTGGATCATCATCGCATTACATGTCAAGGTCAGTTTTAACCAAATTATTTAACTGAATAAATGTTAGTTTCTGTTCTAATACAGAATAGTTCAGAATCTAAGTACAGAATAGTTGAATTCTAATACAATAGTTGGTGCCGCTTGTCTGCAAAATCTTTACCATTTAAACCTTTTATCATTTTTTATTTATAGAAATGCTTTTTATTACCATTGATTCATTTATTTATGTCTATTTATTTGTGTTAATACAGCAGTATCAAGAAAATACTTTTTACAAAAAGTTTTCTGGTGTACCCTTTCTGCAAAAATGTTATTAAAACTTATTTTTTATTTATTGATATATTTATTTTTCCAAATTTGTGGAAAAAATAAGTTTGTGT